TAAACATGAATGTCTCTCTAATGGATGAAGTATGTAATGCCTTAAAACATATAGGTCCCACATCGATGTAGCCATGCCCCTAAAAACCATCATACAATACAATTTTAACACTTAGTACACTATCGGTACACTCACAAATGATTATATTGGTAACTATATCACTTTAACATTGCCTATGATGGCCTTTCACGGACATCATCTTAACTCAACCATATACATGCCCATGCAATATATATGATGGCATAGCAAGTACTGCACCCTGCATTGAACGACAAAGAGGGACAGAAAGAAGGAGGTGATGAAAACATTTTTTTTTGAAAAAAAATTGAGTCGATTTGTGGTAGACAATAGACAATATGTGTATATGAAGTAGTAATAAGTATTCAAATTTTAATGGAATACATACGATATTATGTTTTTCAAATGAGCAGGGTTAATCATTCGGTACTACTTAAAAAAGTATAGCTAAAAAACGTACCACCATGAAAATCTGCAAAACACCATATCATTATTTATTTTGATATAGATTTATACTTTAGCACCAAATTTGTTTCACCATATGTTATTTATAATTATATGAGACTCATTTACTAATTTTAAGAATGTACTTATTTCACAAACTTATTTACACTAACTAATTCGCTAGGGTGCGCTTACAGTTGGGTTCTGTGGTGTATAACATTCGTCAATTATATACCTGGTATATTAGAATTTCTATCAACTATATAAAAAAATAACATAAGTAGTTCTATGCGTATTTTATTGGATTATTCATGTTTTGCCAATAGTACTTGGCAAAGAAAATACATAATTCTCGTGATGAATTAAGAGTTGTATTCTAGCAAAATAACTGTCTAAACTCTTATTTATTTATTTATTTTCACATCTATCTATCATGTATGCTTCTCACTCCTCAAATAACAATCAAAAAGTTTTGAAAAAATTCAGATACTTTTAGAATCTCAATATCACCCAAAATAAACCTAAAAAGATCCACTTAAAAACCAAAGCTAAATTCTATTGTTTTATTATCACTGGCTAGAATTTAATTTAATTTTTCTCATCAATCTATTAACTGTGCTTCTCAGACCTCAAATAAGAAAAGTTTTGAAAAATTCCAAATACTTTGAGAATCTCAATCTCTTCCAAAATTAAATAAACCTAAATATATGTACTCAAAAAACAATGCTAGGTTTTGTTATTTTAATTTTTACATATGTAGATTCAAATTAACGTTGTATATTTGTCAAGTGATATTTGACACCATAAAATACGATATGAAATTATTTGAAACATTATTATCACATTAACTATTACATGCTGGCGTCATTTGTCATGATATATTTATCACTACAATACGTTTATGATTAAGTTTAGCTGTGCATATTTGTGTAGTATTATTTATAATAAAATCATAGATTAAAGGTTAAATTAGTGCTGACGGTGATGATCTTTCATGATTAGTATTTCTTTCCGATACTACTATGTACGTGTGCATGTTTTCTTTTTATTTTTTTGGCTTTATCTTTTTTTCGATCGTATATGTTGTACGTATTTAAGTTTTTTTTCCCGGGAAGGAGACGATCGTACGATGTAATCACGTTATGTTTTTTTCCGGGATAGAGATTAGCAGCATGGGAATTTTAAGAGCTCTAATCCAATGTTTAAAATAGCGGGTCCACTAATTTAAGTGAAAATTGAAGGCTCGATGGTTTTCTTTTTTTACTCTAAATTTCTAGGATTTCTCTAATTTTATTAAAGTGTCACGCGATAATGTAGGAGTGTTTACATGACATTTAATAAACTTTTAGTATATAATAGATTTCTAGAGTTTCTTTAATTTATTTGAGAGAAAGTTTAATGTATTTTTAAGTATATAATAGATAGATTTAGAAGATGGTTTCAAAGAACATTGATTAGATATTTATTATAGATCTTAATTTAACTAAATATATTTATATTTGTGAAGTAATATATTTTATTTTTATATTATAGAAAATCATATTTTAAATTTTTTATTTTTATGAATGTATGTTTTTTCTGTCTTTTTTATGTATATGTATATGTTTTTTTTTCGCCAGCGAAGATTAGGAAATTTTTGTTTTCAATATATCACGTACGGAAAGAAAGCAGTGGCATTTGTAATGTACAAACTCATACGTACATCAGGAAGTTATTATTTTTTAATAATAGATCTAATCTAATGGTGTAAAATAATGGGTCCATCAATTTAAGTGAAAATCAACGGTGAGATTAAATAGTACCATGTGACGACTTAGGAGGGTTTGTAGGAGTGCCACGTGGTGGCTTAAGAGTATTTGTAGGAAATTTAATGGAATTTTAGTATATAATAGATAGATATATATGTCAAATTATAATTATATTTCTAACAATATTACATAACCTCAGATAATTTTGGAACTTCCAAAACTTGCTACCAAATAAAGAACTCGTCTGTAAACAACATCAAATTAAGTTCGCTCTCTTCCCTCGGAAAATTAAGCTTAGTATTAGTCATAACAGAACATACGCAAACTGGAATCAGTGAGCAACAATCATCGCGAGAACCAAACGCACGAAAGGATTCAAAGTTCATTCCACGCATATATGTCATTCATTGTCATGGCCATCTATAGCAGTTTAATTAGCACACGAAAATTGAGCGCTCCGATAATACTAGATCAAACATTATGATGCCTTATACCAGCAGAGGAAGGGAAGGATTGGGATTGGGATTGGGATTGGGATTAAAGGTCAGTTTGGAGAGCTTCTAGCAACTACAGCTTCTTCTATAATCTCCAGTTGCTAGAAGCTCCTCTAATGGTAGAAGCTCTCCTAAATAGTTCAGTTTTTTATCCAGATTCTGAGAATTTGTAGTTGTAGAATCTGAAAAATGAACTAGAAGCTAAAAGCTGGGTTTCTTAGTTCTCCATATTCTCACTAGCTAGTTTTTCAGCAGCTGGTTCTCTGAATCTTAAGCTTCCCAATTAGGTCCAGAGGTGGAAATGAGATTAGAGAGATGGAGGGAATGACGCTGTACTCCAGTGCCAGGCTGCCACCTGTCACGCCAATCCCGAACTCGACTGCCAAGTGCTAATCCTGAGTGACCGGGAAAAGAAAAGTTAACGCCGTGTTTCGTGTTTAGTTCCGAAATACTCCCTCGGTCCAAAAAAAATAAACCCCGGGTTTCCGTGTCCAACGTTTGACTGTCCGTTTTATATGAAATTTTTTTATAATTAGTATTTTCATTGTTGTTAGATGATAAAACATGATTAATACTTTATGCGTGACTTGTCTTTTTAATTTTTTCATAATTTTTTCAAATAAGACGGACAGTCAAACGTTGGACACGGAAACCCAGGATTTGTCTTTTTTTTTTTGACGGAGGGAGTATTTCTTTAAACTTCCATCACATCAAAACTTTCCTACACACATAAACTTTTAACTTTTCCATCACATTAAAACTTTTCTACACACATAAACTTCCAACTTTTTCGTCACATCATTCCAATTTCAACTAAACTTCCAATTTAACGTGAACTAAACACAGCCTAAGAGAAAGAAGGCGTTGCCTGCTCTGGTTTGCTTTTTGTTGTCGCGGCTCGCAGAGTGGCAGCGTGGATTTCGTCGCAACCAAGTCGAACGGTCAATGATGTACCGGCGTACATGTACCGTATACTGTATCAAGTATATGGTTTTGGTGGTCCTTCCTCTGTCTTTCTTTTAAAAAAATAACTTTTAGCTATGAAGTTCGTTTTTTAAGGAATGGAGGGTAGGGCTGTCAATGAGCCCAGCTCGAGCGAGCTTGCCTGTCTAGGCTCAAGCTCGACACAAGCTCGAGCCGAGCTCGAATCGAGCCAGTCCTCCTTCGAGCTTTTAAGCAGGCTCGGCTCAAGCTCGGTTAAGCTTGCGAGCTCAATCGAGTAAAGAATAATGTATATTTTGATGACAAAATTTTGAAAAAAAATTTTTAATTAATAATATTGAAGAAAATATATGAGAATTTAAGATTAATATATGATGCCAAAATACACTTAATTTTCACACGAATATATACTAATTTATCCTTGAGCTATTAACTTATCATATAAAAGATACAAATTACACACATAGTTAGGCTCGTGAGCTCGAGCTCGGTTCGACAAAGCTCACAAGCTTGCAGCTAGGCTTGGGTTCGGCTCATTAAGAGCTTGAGCCGAGCTCAAATCAATTCTGAGACGAGCCGAGCTCGAGCAGCTCGTGAGCCTCGAGCTTTTTTGACAGCCCTAATGGAGGGTGTAGGTTGATTAGCTTGGACCGGTGAATTTTTTGCATGTCAGGCCATATTTTGTTTTATCAAAAAAATGTTTATTCACTTCTATATCCAATTTATTTTCAGCCGTACCAATTGGCTCATTTCCGGTTGTTTGATGCTTTCATCGGTAGATCCAAAACATAGTGTGAAGCGGTGTGGCACATATGAAGTGATTAGCGAAGGTTCTACTCCCTCTTTTCACTTATACTCTCTCCGTCCCATAATATCACTACTAGCAAAATCGTTTTTGCAGGCGGTAAAAAACAGTTTTCGCAGGCAGAGGAAATGATCGTCTGGACGCAAAAGCCTGCAAAAATAGATGATTTTCACGGGCCATTTTCACACGCAGGCCCGTGGCCCGCCTGCGAAAATGATTTTTCGCAGGCGACATCTCCATCTTTGCAGGCGGTAGATTCACTGACCTGCAAAAACACATTTCAGCGAATAAAAACAAAGCCGCACCACCCACAGGCGCCGCCGCTGGCCTCCCCGTCCGGCCGACGGCTCTTCTCCGTCCGCCACCGCCCCCACAAGCGTCGTCCTCGTCACGTCGGCGCCATCGTCGTTGCGCATCTCCTCCCCCTACCCATAGGTGGGGCCGTTGTCGTCGCGCGTCGCCGGGAGAGGGAGGAGCCGAACCGAGTCACCGTCGCCGGGAGAGGGCGGATTCGCATGCCCGGGGCGAGCCGGCGGCGGATCCACATGCGTCAGCGACGTCCGTTGCAGCCAGTGGTGGAGGCGGCGAGAAGGCGAGCCGCGGCGGATCCGCACGCCTGGGGTGAGCCGGCGGCAGATCCCCAGGCATCAGCACCATAGTGGCCAGCGGCAGAGGTAGAGGCGCCGTCGCAGTATTAATTCATCTTATGCATAATAATAATTGTAACTAATATGCACAGTATATTTTTTTCTCGCAAACATGCAAAAGATTGCACGTCATACAATTAGAAGAAAGCAAGTTGTTTACACGACACAGTTCATCATAAGACAATTACACAAATTAAGTGTTTTTTCAGTGTATCTCAACAAAAATAGGCAATCAATGTTAGGCTGTGTTTAGTTCCACGCCAAAATTAGAAGTTTGAAGAAATTGGAACGATGTGATGGAAAAGTTAGAAGTTTGAAGAAATTGGAACGATGTGATGGAAAAGTTAAAAGTTTAAAGAAAAAAAAGTTAGAATCTAACCATAGCCTTAGTAATAATATATACACTTGTAGGGTCTCACGAAGATTTGCAAACCCCAATCGAGAAATGTGTGCCCAGATAGTTGCATAATATCTAATTAAAATGCAAAGCTCTGCAGCCATCTTGCTTTCACTTTAATACTAGGAAAAAGACTCAATAATTAATAAATTGATCAATCAGCTGTATTGGGAGTTGGGTGCATAGTAGAAGCCAAAAATGCATACACTCAAGCAGAATCATTGCACCGGAGGCAAGACTTACCCCGTCTATCCCTACTTCCGTTTCATCTGCCATGCCCTGATCTCCCTTTGAAACATTAAATGTCCCTTGGTCCTACAGGTAGAGAGGGGAAACAATGAGCTTAATTACCAAGCAGAGCACAAAATGCTCCGTTGAAAGGAATAACTATTATTAAAGAGAACAATGACGGGAGAAAAAAATAAAAAACATGTCACTAACCATTGTGTACGAAAGCAACAGGTGTAGATATGGTGAATGATGCTACTAGGACTTGGCATATTAGTCGCAAAGATACATCCATCCGATGTAGGTGACAATGTGCCTCTTCTGAGGTGGTATTGTGCAAGATAATTCTCCTTCTGATGGTAAAACACAATGGCATCACCCACAATGGTAGGAAACGCCTTGGAGCTGACACAGAGATTCCTATCACCAAGGAAAAGGGAATTGCGACCGATGCAAGTCACCGGGACAGTTGTTCCCGAAATAAGATCAGCTAGTCTGTAAACTGAAATCTGTGCATACACACTAACACCAAAGGTGACCAGCAGAATGTCAGAGTCACATTCTACCAAATGGTAGAGAAAGAACGAGTCAGGTGTCCTTGCTGGGCATTTGGCGATCGATTTTGGTGGTGGCAGCGAGAGCTCCGTCGTCCCTTCCAGCTGCAGTTGCAGGGGTGGGTCTATCTGCAAGACCTCAGGTCCACCATAAGCCGTGGCTTGATCCAACATGTATAGCTTGCCTTGGAATGGCAATGGAGTATAGGCTTGGTACATGGACCAGCTCGACACCCTCCACTGCCTATCCCCAGAGGCGGCGAAGGCTACGCGCACCGTGCGGGATAACCATATCATAAGCAAGACGGCTTGATCGTCATCAGCTGATGGTGTGATGGAGGCAGCAGCGACATCTCTGAGATATTCCTCCGACCGGCGGCTCGCGTACGGCAGCAAGGTGTCCAGCGGCGGGAAGTCGACGATGTCGCCGGTGAAGGGGTGGAGAAGACGGACCGCGGTGTCACGGTTCCGCTGCAGGAGGAGGATGCCGTCGACGGAGTCGAGGATGCGGTGGTCGTCGCGGGCGATGGGCAGCCTGAGACGGACGAAAGCGCCGGTGGAGAGGTTGAAGAAGCGGACGAAGCCACGCAGCTTGCCGTGGCCCGGGTAGAGACCGTTCCCCTCGGGGAGCATCATCCACCGCCGCGGGTGGAAGCGCGGGACCACGACGCCGCGGCCGCACGGGCTGGCGGTGCAGGAGCGCCAGTGGTGGCACGCGGCGCGGAAGCAGATGTAGTCTCGCACATCTCCAGCCAGCACCCGCCAGCCTATCAGGCTCACCAGGTCCTCCGCCAGAGAAGCCCACGACGATGAGTCCCGACCAGCATGAGTGGTGGCCGTCCGCCGCCGGCGCTTGCCGCTGCACGCCACCATGGCCGCTGACATGCCGATCTACCGGTCCGTACAGGATGCCAGGGGCACCAGATATTTCTTTCTTTTTGGGGGGAAACCTTTTATTAGTACTAGGATTGAGACAAAGCGAAAAAATATCCCAGATCTACAACAGAAGATGGGAAATAAAGAGGATGAGCGTAGGGCACGGGGGCGGAAGCAGCAGGACGTCGGGACGGCTGCTCGCGGGATGGAGATTGGCAAGGAGACTATTGCCGAGGCCGAGGAGATGGGGAGATTGACTGGGCGCGAGGAGTGATAGGCAAAAGTATGCGGCGGAAGCAGCAGTTCGCCGACATCGCTATTCTCCGGTGATGGATATAGAAGGCCAACTGGGCCGTGCCTGGACCGAGGCTAGTCGGGTTGCCGTGCCAGCCCATGTGTGGCATACATGGCCCAGGCATGGCCCAATACTACTCGGGCCATGCCGGGCCGGTCTGAAGGCACGATGGCTCATCATGCTTCTTCACTTTGTGCTATGTGTTCAAATGGCTGGAAAATAAGTCTATACGGTATTCCTCTTCTTTTTTGGCCTTGCATTATACAGTTATTTAAGTCTATTTTGAATTTCTATATTTTGTTTATTTGATCGGGCCGTGCCGAGGGTGTAGCCCAGGCACGGCCCGGGCCGGGCTAGCACAAGCGCGACCCTAGTCGGGCCGTGCCGTGCTTGGGCAGGGCTAAAATGGCGTGACTTGGGCCGGGCCGCGGGCCTCAAGCCATATGGCTATCTATGGGTGTGTTTGGTTGCTCATATCCTTCTAGTCTGTCCCATCTCTCCCAGCTAGGCTGAGCTTGTCCTGACTAAGGGGATCCACATGCGGTTGTTTGGTTGTTTGTATTGGACTAGCCTGGTTAGTATGAGATTGTGTTTGGTTGCTTGTATAAGATATGCAGTTTGAAAGAGATTTTGTTTGGTTGGTTGTATGCGTTTTAGTTTGGTTACCTCTCCATTTAGTTGGGTGAGCTTACCTATGTAATATCGTATGAACAAATATCAGACTCAACTAGTTAAGGATATGTTAATAGTTTATCACATAAAAATAAGATTGGTTTCGATTTAACCTTAAACAAAATTGACAACATTGAAGAGTTCATCAGGATTTTTTTTATACATTTTCTTTAATGGAAATTCATCCACCATTAGCACAGTGCAAACAGTAATAACACGTTATTAATTCAGCCGGCAATAATCAATCGGAAAGCCACAAGAAAAAAAAAAGGGAACCGTCCTAATCCACAATGCCCAGCACACCGCAACGCTCGCCGCTCCGCTCGCCTGTACGCCGCTCTGCCTGCCCATTCCCATGTCGCTCGTCGCCGTCTCATGAGCCGGATCTGGCGACGCCGAGCTCCTTACCGCTGGATCCAGCGTCTTGTGGGACCAAAGAGGGGAGAGAGAGAGAGTTGGAAGGCAGTGGTCGTCGGTGATGAGGAGTAGCGGCACGGAAGGTGGAGGCGGCGACCGGTGTGGAAGGTGGAGGCGGCGGTCGACGAGAAGAGGAGTGGAGAAGTGGAGGCTCTGCTTCTGTCATTCCCAAGCCCTTCTTCCTGGGCAGACCTTTGTACCCGTCGTCTGGCTGGTGGTTGCTGATGAGAAGGGAGGGGACGGCTGAAAAGGGGAGGTGAGGCAGGCGGCTGGTGATGAGAAGGGAGGGGAAAGCAGCAGCCGACGTTGCACGGCGGTGACGACGGTAACAGCCGGCGGCAGTTGAGACGAGGGTAGAGCGAGGAAATGAGGAGAAGGAAGGTGACAGGATGCGCGACACCTCTCCCCACGCTGCACCCGCTCGTCCTGGCGCTGCACCCGCTCATCACCGCCTCTGCACGCGCTCAGCCAGGCTCTCGAGCGAAGCTCAATTCAGGTGTTTCTCTCGGGCCTGGCTGGGGAGGTCTTTTTGCATGCGCACAGCCAGGCTCTGGAGGGTGTGCAGGCAACCAAAGGGAAATTTAACTATTTGCCACTCTTGTGACATGGCAATTAACGATTTACTACACCCTGTCAATGATATGTGGGCTCTCATGTGTCTATGACATGTGGGCATAGTGGCAAATTGTTAAGTACCATTCGTAAGAGTGGCAAATCGTTAAAAGCCCCGCAACCAAACATCTGACGATTGCACGCGCGGATGCGAGCCGGGCTTGGTGCAGGTAACCAAACACGCCCTATAGTGATGGAGATGGAGACCGGTGCGACGGCGCAGAACGAGACGGACGGGTGTTGAGGGTTTCTTTTTGTTTTTTGTTTGAGAGAGAGAGAGAGGGAGGGGACCGGGCCAGAAGCCCATTATTACGCTGGGATGTCATTGTCGATTTGGGCTTTCCATAGCATTCGTCTCGATCGGCTAAGAAGGTGGTTGCTCAGCCAAGGAAGAAGTCCTTAACTTCCTTAACTGTACAAGGAATCTAATTCGTAACCCTTAACTAGAAAACCGGATAGAACAACCCCACCGCCCACCCCCAATATTGAAATCGGTATAGACCGACTCCTATGGCAATATTGTGGGTGGTATTTGATGACGTGGCAACTTAACCGTGGTCAACAGTGTTGACTCAGCTCAGGATGGTGGGAAATAGCTAGCTGACAGTGGGCTATCATGAGCTGAGTGAGATCCGGACCGGTAAATGCCCGCGCGCGTAGCCATCCCACTCATTTTTATCATTGACCGAAACCCTAGACCTGTTTACTGTGAGCTTGGCGACAAAGAGGGCGATGGCTTGGGCGGCGCTAGGGGGCGCGGCGGTGGTTTGGGGCGACTGCAACTAGGGCAGTACGAGCTGGTAAGTCCACCCTTTCTTCATCGTGGTCTCCCCATTTTGATTTAGGGTTCTCCACCAATTTATATGCTGTGGTAGATGCGCACTTTGCCCTCGGATTTGGTGTTTAGTTAGCATTGTTTATGTAGAACAGCAGTTGGTAGCCTCGATTTGGTCATATTATATCATCCATTGCCTCTCTTTTTGTTTGGGATCTAAAATCTAGGTATTTTAAAACGATGGGGAAGTGTTTTTTTTTTTCCAACTTGCATGTAGGTTCCATGGACGTCTTAAACACCCTTCCAGTTAGGTTTCACTTCAATGGAGATTTTTTGGTGTCTGGTAGGGAGAAGCACTATGTTGGTGGAAGTGAGGCAATGTCTTACCTAGATCAAGATAATATACCTCTGCCTGAAATAGTAGGCCATTTATGTGACCACTGCAAAGTTGCTGAAGGAACAATGCTACATTTGTTGTTCCCAGGGAAAGATCTTAATTCTGAGTTAAGGGCACTATTGGATGACAGTGTGTGCCAATACATGAATGATTGTATTGTGGGTGGAGGGGTGGCTGAGGTGTATGCAGATGCACCAATTCTAGTTGATCTGTCATATGAGGATGAAGGAAGTGACTATGAGTTGGAGATGGAAGAGGACATGGGAGATGAATCAGATGGAAATGAGATAGAATAAGTTGACATGGAAGGTGAAAATGCATAAATGGAGCAAGTTGGCATGGAAGGTGATAATGCAAAAGTGCAACAAGTAGGCATGGAAGGTGACAATGCAGAGGCTGAGGCTGAACAAGTTCATGTTGTGAGGGAAGTATAGTGGTATACACACAGGATCCTGAGCCACTGGCAACTCAAACACCTGATGCAACACAGGAAGCTGAGCCAATGCCAATGTCTCAAGTAGGGGTGGACGAAAAGCTCGTGACTCGTTAGCTCGCTCGGCTCGTGACAAGCTCAGCTCGACTCGGCTTGGTTCGTTGCATTTTTCTAACGAGCCGAGCTGACATTTTAGCTCGTTAAAGATAACGAGCCAGCTCAAGCTGGCTCGTGAGCTGCTCGTGAGCCTTAACGAGCTAGACACATACGTTGAGAAATCAATAGACCATGGCCCATTGCCCAGTTTACATGGCCCAAGTATAGAAAAATTAGGCTATCCCACGACAGACCCAAATAAACAGTCAAAAAATAGAAGACCGAAACCTGATCTGGTCAGTCTCGTCTCTTTCCTCTTCCCCTCATCTGCTCAGATCTAATCCGTCCTCTACCACACGCCTTGCTGCCTTGCCGCCGTGCCTCGCGCCTTCTCGCCCTCATGCTTCCTCCATCCCATGGCGCCGTTGCTAGTTCTAGCAAGGGTAGGTGGACGTTCAAGTTATTGGGGAGCACATTCTTGCATGACTGATCTTTGCACTGCATCGTCTACTTCCTCTACAACCACTACTTGGACATGTCAACCGGCGGTGGCAACATTGGAGGTGGTGGCACCGCCGCTGGTGGAGGAGGCGCCACTAGAGGAGACGAGAATGTCATCACCAACGGAGGCAACAACACCAACAATGCCTCATCTATTACCGAAACATTCTCCGGGTATGTTACTTTCATCTCTATAGTATTAAACATGTTTCTTGATGATGTTTATATAGTTATTAGTATGTTCATAGTTAGAACTATCACAAGATCAATTCTTAATACACATGTCATGTTGAGTATCATGTTTTTTAATTAAAATATGCCAAATTATGACTATATTTCCAACAATATGTAAGTAATCTCAGATAATTTTGGAACTTCCAAAGCTTGCTACCAAATAAAGAACTTATCTGTAAACATCAAATTAAGTTCAGTCTGATCCCTCAAAAAATTAAGCTTAGTGTGGTGAGCCGATATATGCATGATCCAAGAAGTGCTCACATGGAGGTTGTGTATAGGATCCTAAGATATTTGAAGGGAAACCTAGGCAAAGGATTATGGTTCAAGAAAAATAAACACCTGATGGTGAAAGGTTATTGTGATGCAGATTGGACTAGTTGTCCAAATGATAGAAGGTCAACTTCAGGCTATTATGTTTTTGTTGGTGGTAACTTGGTTTCTTGGAGGAGCAAGAAACAACCTGTGGTGTCTCGCTCAATGACTGAAGCTGAATACAGAGCCATGTCAGTGAGTGTAATTGAATTAATATGGTTGAAGAATTTGTTGATTGAGTTGAAGCTATTGAAGAATGCCTCCATGAAGTTGTGGTGTGACAACTAGTCGGCTATTAACATTATCAATAACCCAGTTCAGCATGATCGAACAAAGCACGTAGAGATAGATCGTTTCTTCATCAAAGAAAAGTTGGATGAAGGAACTTTAGAATTATGTTATGTGGTGTCTGGAGAACAAGTGGCTAGTTGTGTAACAAAAGCTTTAGGTGTTAAAGAGTGTACATCTTTATATAATAAGTTTTAGGTCTTCTGCATGTTCTGTAGCTAGCTTTTCGAGGACAGCTTCATGCCTC